CCCCTCTGATCCCTTCTCTCTGCCACGGCCCCTCCCTGCCAGAGGAGTGAGCTGCCCCTTGGGCTGGGCCGAGACCTCAAGGCTGCTCCCCACTCAGAGCCGGGCGCCCCAGGAGGCAGGAGAGTCCCTGAGTCACTGCCCAGCTGGGGCAGATTCTGTCCCTGACGCCATCGACCCCCCCAGGGCCGAGCTCTGCCCCTCATGCTCTGATTCTCCCCCAGCCAATGTGACTCTGGATCCAGACACCGCATATCCCTGGTTCGTCCTGTTGGGGGATGGGAAACGTGTGAGATGGACATGGACACGGCAGCCACGGCCCGACACCCTGGAGAGATTTGACTATGTGCCCTGTGTGCTGGGCAGTGAGGGCTTCACCTCGGGGAGACATTACTGGGAGGTGGAGGTGGAGGTGGGGGGTGGGCGATGGGCTATGGGGGTGGCCAGAGAGTCTGTGAGCAGGAAGGGAGAGATCAGCCTGAGCCCCAAGGGTGGAATCTGGGCTGTGGGGCAGTGGGGGGATCAGTTCCAGGCTCTCACTGACCCTGTGACTCCCCTGCCCCTGAGCCCCCCCAGCAGGATCCAGGTTTGTCTGGACTGTGACCGGGGGCAGGTGACATTTATCGATGCTGGAACCGAGGCCCCGATCTTCACTTTCCCGCCAGGCTCCCTCCCCGGGGAGAGAATCCGACCCTGGCTCTGGGTGAGGGACAGATCACTCCAGCTCCGACTGTCTCCCTGACACCAGCCCCTCTTGCCTCACACACCCCAGTCTGGAGGACTCCCCTCTACCCTGCCGCTGTCTCCTCATCTCTATGATTCCTGAAACCTCTCCCCCTCCCTCGCAGATCCAGAGAAGGGAGGTGGAGGAAACCTACTGCAGCCCCAGGGAGTAGACAGGCCCTGAAGGACAGAAGTAAAGGCTGGGCAGGGGCAGACATAACATCCAGGCTGGGGAAGCCGGAGTGGGGTCTTCGCTGGGGACAGGCGGAGGTGGGGGCCAGGCTGGGGACAGGCGGAGGTGGGGGTGGCAGGACACAGAATTAACTCATCAGGGTTGGGGGAAGCTGGAGGCTCTGCAGCAGCAGGAGGCGATTTGCAGAGATCTGGGTCCATTGGGACAGCCAGAGGAGAAGGGATAAAATCAGGAGAAACAACGGGAGCCAAATCAGAGGCCCGTCCCTGCCCCAATCTTGGGGTCCCCGGGCACGCAAGATGCACAAAACGACCAACCCGACAGCTCTGCCCCTCACTCTCCCGCCCCCACCCCCCGGCTTAGGGGCTCTGGGGCCAGCTGGGCTCAGGAAAGCAGCCGCCCTGGCTCCTGAAGCTGCCGCCTGCTGGGAACGTTGCTCTCCCTGCAGAGCTGGAGCCAAGGAGCGAGCTCCAGGCGGGGGCTGGGCTATTGCAACGCTGAACGGCGCTGCCTGGGATTGTAGCTGCCCAGAAAATCCCTGGCACGACCGCCACTGTGATGTCGGATCATCCCGGCGCCACAGATGGGAGTTTTCATTAGCAGCAGTCGGTCAGACCGTACATGTACAGTGGCTGCCTTGTGCAGCTCATGCCCTTTTGCTCACGCGCACGGTCTGCCTCCCGCCAGTTCCCTCTTCACCGCCCTCGGTCGCAGACAGAGCGAGCTCTTCTCCTCAGGGACTTTTTGTAGTCAGAGATAGTTTAGTTGTTAGTTTTTCCATAAGGGCTGTGTCCAGACTGGCATGTTTTTCCGCAATTTGCCAGCTGTCTACACTGGCCGCTTGAATTTCCACAAGACCACTGACTTCCTACTGTCTGAAATCAGATCCTAGGAACTTCCCAGAACTCAGGGGTGACCACAGATGTACGGAGCCTTCCTTTGCCAACTGCGCACCCGGAACCTTACCGGAAATGTTTCCTTTAATAAATGTTCTTCGAGTGATGTCCCTGTGGGAGTGTCACCGTGATGTCGGATCATCCCGGCGCCACAAATGGGAGTTTTCATTAGCAGCAGTCGGTCAGACCGTGCATGTACAGTGGCTGCCTCGTGCAGCTCATGCCCTTTTGCTCACGCGCACGGTCTGCCTCCCGCCAGTTCCCTCTTCACCGCCCTCGGTCGCAGACAGAGCGAGCTCTTCTCCTCAGGGGCTTTTTGTAGTCAGAGATAGTTTAGTTGTTAGTTTTTCCATAAGGGCTGTGTCCAGACTGGCATGTTTTTCCGCAATTTGCCAGCTGTCTACACTGGCCGCTTGAATTTCCACAAGACCACTGACTTCCTACTGTCTGAAATCAGAGCTGCTTGCGGAAATACGATGCTGCTTCCGTTCGGGCAAAAGCCCCTTTTGCACAAAACTTTTGCGTAAAAGGGCCAGTGTAGACAGCTCGGATTTGTTTTGCGCAAAAAAGCCCCGATGGCGAAAATGGCGATCGGGGCTTTTTTGCGGAAAAGAGCGTCTAGATTGGCACCGACGGCTTTCCCCCAA